AACCAACTGAACTCGTGTCCCATGTCAAATTGAAAACGAGCGTAATTAATTGGTTTATTTGGCCTGGTTAACCAAATTATCCTAAATACTTGAAATAATTTGTTATTTATATTAAAATTATGTTTAATATGTTAATAATATTATTATTATTTTGTATGTTATTTTTAGTTAAAAAACTTGAGTCCGGTTTGTTTCGATTTCTAATGTGCAATCTGATAGTTGCGATAAAGTGCAACGTGTTGTGCTAGAAAGTGCAGCGTGTTGTTTTATAAAGTGCAATGTGTTGATGTATATAGTGATCTAGTAATTATGGTAATTGAAAAAATAATCAAATATATGAAATTGCAAATAGGTCCCTCAATTTCACCTAATTCTCAACAACACAACCCAAAAAGAAAAAAAAATGCTATACATAATTAAATGTTGACAGCCTGCCACCCGTCCCCTTAGCCTCCAGTCGTCACCGCCGACAACGACCGCGCCACCGCGAGCTCCGACGGTCATTCATCTAGATTATCCAGGCCGTTCGGCGGTCCACGACGGTCCACGGCGAGTGAAAATGACGGATCTTGGTGAAGGTCCGCGGCGGTCCACGGGAGTGAAGACAACAGATCTTGGTGGAGGTCCACGGTGGCCTCCGATGTCTGCTGTTGTGATGGAGAGCATGGACGTCGGCGGCGGCGGACTCTGCATATAACGGCGGCGACGGGCTCGGCAGAAGACGACGACGGCTGGCTCTACGTATAACGGTGGAGGCGGACTCGGCAGAACAGGACGACGGCGGACTCGGCAGAACACGGCGGCGACGAGCATCGACCGGTAATGGCGGCGGAGAGCGGTCGTGCATATCTGTACGTGTGTGTGTGTTTATGTATCAGTTGGTGTGTGTGTGTGTGTGTGACAGTGTGTGCGTATGTTTTTTGTGTGTGTGTGTGCTGCGTATGTTTTGTGTGTGTTGTGTGTGTGTGTGTGTTGATGTGTGCGTGTGTGTGACGGGTGTGATTGTGGTGTCAGTGTGTGTGAGTGATAGAAAATTAATGGAGAGAGAGATGGTGAGTTGTCAAGTGGTAGTGGGTGTGTGAGTGGGTCCCACTATTTTTTTTGTCTTGCCAATTACAACATTGTCCTTATTTGATGTATATATTTGACTTTTTTTTAGCCATTAGATCATCCGATCTAATGGCTGTGATTTATTCTCATTTTTTTCATTTAGAATCATTCTCATGTGATTTATTATATATATATATATATATAATATTTTAGTATATTTACATAACCCTATCCTTTGCAGCAGAATTCAGAAAAGATATTTCCCCAAATCCTCCACCGCCGTCCCCAAATCCTCCGCCCCTTCTCCGCCTCCGCTGCTCCTCCTCCACTGCTCCTCCGCCTATGCTCCTAAATCGCCCCGATCCAAACCATCTCCCGAATCGTCCGCTCAGTAAAAAATCATCCCCTCATCTTTGCGTCTGCGTGTAGTTCGATCCGATCCGGCCAAAGAGCTCGTGGTCACCGGTCGTCGACCCGCCAGGCACACGGTTGCACTTGTTCACCTTCAAGGACGAAAGTCTCCCCGATTTTTTCTCCCCCACCAAAATCTCAGTTTTACGATACTTTTTTAGCTTCATATCTTGTTTCTTGTTATGCTGGCTTGTGCAGAGAACTCTTCCCGGTTGCTTATGGTAGACAATTTTTGTTGTTCCCATTGAATTGCAATATCTATATTTTTGTTTTATTTTCTAATTGCAAATTTGTGATGAAAAATCATGTATGTTTGTGACTTTGTGAGATGTTTATTTCTCGTCCTTTCCCTTTCTTTCTACCTAAACTCTTAGCACTTATTTTGTTAATCATGTAAAAATTCGGATAACCGACAGAACCGACCGAATAATTCGGTTCGGTTAATTT